CCGTGGCCGCATGCGATGGGGACCGCCGCTGCTCCACCTCCGTCCTCTGCTGCTGCTGCCGCTGCTGGGTCGTCGCCGTCGTCGTCGATATCGCCGCCGCTCCCGGAATGGTCGTCCTCACCCATCGAGGCTGAACAGTCCCCGCCAAGAAGAGCGCCGCAACCACGCCAAACCAGGCTGACCAGACCGCCGCCGACCGCACCGGGGTACGCCACGCCCCTGACGCCCCATGCTTCGAGACAGCTGGGCGAGAAGGGAGACCTTCGGGTCCGAGGACGCACGAGGGGAGATGCGCGCGCCATGTCACAGCAGCAGCTCTCTACTCTTTCGGAGGACCGGCAGTTCCCATCTCTGCCGAACGAGGCCGTCAGTACTCCTCTCCCTCCTTCCGAGATCACCATGGGGTTGCTGGCTCAGGCGAACGAAGATGTCCTCCTCTCCATGCTGGATGCTCGGCGAGTCATGAACGGGAAGACGATGCTCCGGCCAGGATTGGAGGGGGATGATGAGCAGGGGGGCGGAGGGGAGCAGCGAGCTCGGAGTGGGGACGCGGGAGGAAGCAAGGGCATCCTGCCTAAGGGGGACACGGGCGAGAAGGGACGCGTGGGGTATGGATGGTCGATCGGTCCCTCTGAGCGGGGCGTTCCGCTCGGGCTCATGGCGCGTCTTGCGACGCGCGACGACCTCGATTCAGCTATCTCTGAGATGGAGCCACCCCTTCTGCGTCCCGACATGCCGCGCTGCCACGCCAAGGACCTCAGGGTTCCCCAGACATTCAAGGAGGCGAAGGAGAGCGTGCACAGCACCCAGTTCATGGACGCAACGAAGAGAGAGGTGTTTGGGTTGCTAGAAGCAGATGCATTCAAGGTTGTTGGACCCTAGCAACCAATCGGTAATTGTATCAAGTCGAAGTTTGTGTTTGATTGGAAGGTAGATGCGTTCGGCTTTCCTACGAAGGCCAAAACCAGACTTGTTGCAAGAGGAGATATGCAGAAGGAGTACATTGACTTTGGTGATTTGTATGCTCCCACAGTAGCTTCGTCTAGTGTTCGTATGTTGGCAGCTTTGGCGTGTGAGCTTGACTTGGAGTTGTGTCATTTCGATATCGATCAGGCGTTTGTGAGGGCCCCTCTCAAGGAAGACATTTTCATGCGATTGCCGGAAGGATGTGGTGCGTTGTCGGGGAAGATTGTGCAGTTGAACAAGAGCCTTTACGGTTTGAGGCAGGCATCTAGGGAGTGGTACGCGTTGCTGAAGAAGTGTCTTTTGGCTTTGGGTTTCGAGCAGTGCATGGCCGATTCATGTGTTTTTCGCTTAGTCGAAGGGGGGGAAGTAGTGTTGATTCTAGTAGTACACGTAGATGATATTTTTGCAGTGGGGACGAAGGAGAGGTGTGATCAATTTGGGAAGGACCTGGGCGATTACGTACCGGTGAAGTCTCTGGGGGAGTTGCAGTGGTACTCTGGTTGCTATTACGAGAGGGACAGAGAGGCAGGTAGATTGACGATTTCGCAGGAGACATACACCAAGGAGTTGGGAGAGAGATATGGTGTGGAGTGGGGCGGAAGCATTCCTTTGCCCACGACTTGGAGACTTTGGGACTTTGATGTGAATGAGCCGAGCGTAGAGCACCCATTTCGCGCGCTGATTGGTTCGTTGCTATGGATAGCTTTGTTGACTAGGCCGGATATCGCGAATGCGGTGAGGGCAGTAGCGAGGTACTGTAGTGCACCCAAGTTGATCCACTGGAAGGCTGCACTTGGCATCTTAGGATATGCAGTTAGGACTAGTTCTTTCGGGATTTCTTTTCAGAAGGGGACAATTTCAGGGTTTTCTTTGATCACGTTCGTCGACGCGGATTACGCCTCGCGTGCGGCGGATCGTAGGTCGGTTTCAGGGGGAGTAGTAATGTGTGCGGGGGGAGCGATAGCATGGTTTTCCAAGACTCAGAAGTGTGTGACTTTGTCCACCACGCAGGCAGAGTACGTGGCGATGGCGGACATGGGGAAGGAGATTCTTTTTTTGAGGCAGGTTTGGCGCTTTATGTTGCCGAAGGAGTTGCGGCCGTGCATTCCACTGTACGAGGATAACGAGGGTGCTATCCAGATCGCAAAACACCCGATCTCGAATTCCAACTCGAAGCACATCGACGTGCGGCATCACTTCCTCAGACAACTGGTAGATGAGAAGGAGGTAGAGATCATTCATGTAGCGTCGCAGTACCAGCATGCTGACTTCCTCACGAAGGCGCTACCTGAGAGGGATTTTGTGTTCCACAGGGACTACGTGATGAACTTAAATTGAGCAGTCCCGGAGTTTTTTGTGTTGTGTTTTTGTTTGTGTGATTCTTTCGATTTGAGTATATGAGGAGTTGATTTTCTACGAGTTTGAATTCAAGAATGGCCGATTGACATTATATTTGGTATTTCTGTTTTAATGGTTGGTTGGGAATACTTTCTATCCGATTGAAATTCTAAATGAGCAGTCCTGGAGTCTTTATTTTTGTTTTGTTTTTTTGCGTTTGTGCGATTCTATTGAATTGCTATTTCTGAGGATTTTCTACGATGTTGAATTCCAGGGTGACCGATGGATAATCTCTGCAGTGTTTCTGGTTTAATGGTTAGGAGAAGAGTTTCAAACCGGTTGGAGTTCTAACGAGTTTTGTTTCGGGTATAATGGTCATGGTGTTTTGGCGAAGACGAAGCATGAGATGGATGGAATGTTAATCACTAAGCCTTGCGTTCAGGTATTTGGTATAAGAGGGTATGCATGTGTAAGGTAGTTAAATGAGTCCGGGTGTAATCTTGCCAATGCAGCGAGTAGGGGGGCTGTTGGATGTACTCACAGCATCAACAGATTATTGCGAGCAAGAATTTCCCGAGCAGATGGAGCGGGGAGTTTGGGGGTTCAATGGTTGCTATGGATTAGATTTGGTGGTACCAACTTTATCACATATTGCAGGTTTGAGGGTATGGGTGTCTACAACGGAATTTGTGTGCGTGGCTTGTGGTTCCTCACTTCCTTTTTCTGTGTATAATCAAGTCCTTTTTCCGGCTCTCACGCCAACCCCGGCTTCCACGCCCATACTCCGGCTATCACGCCAACCCGGCTTCCACGCCTTCAGGACTCCCACGTCCCTAAATATACCTTTACATCAGGGCCACCACGCCACCCGGCTTCCACGCCACAACCTATATTATACACGAGCTTCCACGCTCCACCACGTAGAAGGGCTTTCACGCCCGCGGATAGTTTCTACATTTTGACCGTTGGCAGTACCCAGCTGCTGGCACCTTTTGTTTCCCACTACGGGACCCCGCGCCGAGGCACCCACGCACAAAGCTACTCAACACCGCTCGCGATTCCTCTTTCTGGTTAGTCCGCACAAGAACGTAGGCGCCAAAAACGCGCGTTCGTGGAGGTTATCCCGATCACCAAGAGTAGCACCGCATCGCAATAACCGTTCTCCGCAAATTATTGATTTGTTTCTTGTCTCTATGCAGATGGGCGCCCATTGCATCAAGGACGTTGTTTTTTTTACTCGTCCCCATACCGAAAACAACTGGAACACAACACATTCTTTGTTGCAGGTTCGCAATGCCAAGACTTGGATCTCGGACATGAAGTACAGCAGGGACGGAGCTCTTCTCGCCGTAGCCACGAGCAGCGGCCAGATCTACGTCCATGATGCCGCCGACCACTACAGCCTAAAGTCCACGACGAGTGAGTGAGCGAGGAGTCATTTCATTCCCGCGATCAACGCGTGCATCAATTTGAGGCATTTTCCGTGGGGAGGGGAGGCACCCTTCCTTGCTCTCTGGTGGCTGGTTACACCCGTACATGTAAATGAAATGCCTTTCTTTTTGGTGTGCACAGAGTTGAAGCATGATCAATGGAACCAACCACCAACGATGGATTGCAACACGTCCACTTATGCGTGGTTGGAAATTCCTAAACCCTTCAATCACCAGGAAAATATACTCGAACGGTTAGCTTTGCGGCCGGAAGCTGTCCACGACAGATGTTACCGAATGCGAAACAGGTGCCAACAATCACGACAAGTGGTGATGCCGTATACCAACTTCGCACGAGAAAGCACTCGTCGATGGCATCGACGCGCTACAAGTATTTATGGCACTTCGAGCCCAGCACGACCTGTTCTCATCAGACAGCCTCCCTCCCTCCCCTTCTCCATCCATTTGAAACCAGAGAAACTTGAGGACGTGAGTTCAATAACCAGCATGGATTTCTCCACCGACAGGGAAGTCCTGCAAGCAACGACAAGGTATACCCGGCCGAGTGATGTAGACTATGATGGCGGGTTCCATCGTCCTGCTGAAGAATGGAATTCGGACAGAACTTCGGCGCAGCTCCCTGCGCTAAGCGACCGCATCATACGACTCGTATACCACCATATCGATCTCACGTAGAATTGTGAGTTGCTCTCTGACTTTCATTCGCAGTTGGGAGAGTCTTGTGGATACAAGTGCTTTTTTACCGACGCACAGTACGATTTTTGTTTTCACAAACACCGACACCACTCCTCCACCCTCGTGTCTTGCTTCTGAGACCGATTTTATGTCATGGCCCGCTTTACACGATCCAACAACAACCTCAACGAAACATGCATTCCACGCAATCCCCGGATGTACCAGCTCGAAGGATCTCTTGTTCTTCCACGTGGAGGACGGGCGCCGAATGACCGCCAAGAGCAAGACGAAGGACCTCGCTTTTGAGACGCAGACGTGCCCGGCCGGCTGGACTGTCCAGGTAACTCACACAACGATGCGAGTTCTGAGGACGACGAAGCCCCCGCCCCAAGAGGCGGGGTGTCAGCACCACATTTTTGAAACCCTTGCGGAATGTCGCCCTCCATCTTGCTGCATCCACATGCGTGTTAAAGTGGTACGATGCTTCTTGTTCGGTTGCTGAACACCGCAAATGGAGTGCGTGCCCGCGGTGAAGGATCATTGGAGTGTGTAGACTCACCCTAGAAAGAAAGGGGCTCCAGAGGCAGGTTCCAACAGCGGAAAGTGCCTGTTTCTGATTTTAAGTTGCTCCCACTTTCGTCAGCCTTCTTCACACCCCTAGCCCCCTAGAAAGAAGAGTTGCCCGCGAAAATCGGAGATGGAAAGCACGATATTTCTTGTAGCACAGGAGTTTGAGGGAATTCGTGAAGTATTTCATGGTCGTGCCAAAGGACGCACACCGTCCCTGGTAGACTAGGGGAGTCCCGCTTGCCAATTGACAGCCAGCTCGTTCGCATGACGAATACATCGCCGTTTTCAAGTGAGAAGTCATCAAGTATTGAGCGCCTCCCTCGAGCACGTGTCCTCAGAACATGTAACTATTCGGTGGGTGTGGATGAGATACGGGTGCTCCTTTCGGTAATTCTTCTCCCGTGCGTTACTGCTGTGGCGCGCTTTGCCCAACCGTTACAACTGTCGATTTCCCCGCGTTTCCCGAAGGCCACTTGGCCTCAGGGTCGGCCCGACCTGGAGCCGGTGTCAACCGACCGATGCACGCCGGCCCTGGTCGAGGGGCAGCCACAGTTGGGGGCTCTGCTCGCGGTGGGGTACAAGACCGGGCAGGTCGAAGTTTTCCGGTGAGAAACACCTGAAAAACAAAGGGTAAACGACAAGGAAGTAGGCGAAGGGATCGTTTTGGCCTGGCAACTCATGATGTTCCTGGAATGACTCGACATTTCAAGGCTGTTTTTGGTAATCAGGAAAAGGAACGAGAACGCTGCCGCCTGCCACTCACGCGATGTGTTTTTTGGAATGGTTTCGGTCCGTTCTCGCAATTCGTCACCTACTCCGTCTGCTCGCTTCTACTTTTCTATTACTCCCCAACAAACGCGTCCCATCCGAAGCCACCACTTTGTGACGGCACGATAGTCTATATGTGCAATGCCCGACAAAGAACACAAGGCCTAACGTGACGAACATAAGCCCAACGTGTATCGACGCCGATCGAACCCAACGCCCGGGCTCCCTTGTTGTGTGGGCCCCTCGTAGGTACCCGTGCCAGAACCAGGGGGCGAGGTCTGTGTCAGCCGGTGGCCACTCTACTGAGGCGGGAAGGGTACGGTTCAACGCCGACGGGACCGCTCTGATATCGATCGGCTCGGACAGCCGGGTGGTCTTGCAGCACTCGGTTCTCCCCCCGCTTCCGCCAGTGTAACGAAGCGTGGGATTTTTATCGGAGGGCACAGTTCGCGTGGTGCTGTCTCCGAGGTGGCGAATTCTCGCACATTAACTTATCCTTTTTGTCTTTGGAGCCATTGGTGCGTCTCATGCCGTTTCCACCGATATCTTGGGGCGACCTGTTGGTCCGCGTTTCATTCCTTGTCTCTCTTCGGCTAGTACGCACCTCTGATTTGTGCCGTGGTACTGTCTAGAGTTTTCTTGAGACTTTTGGCGATCACATCGCCCTCCTTGAGTTAAAACTGGTCTTGCTCGGCGAAGAGTTGGAAACACTCAACCAGAGGTTGTAGCCAACCCTGTCCCGTGCTTTGCAAGCGCAATGGAGTACGCTTGGCGCATGTTTTTTTTTTCCTGACTGTGGTTGTGACTTCTTGTCAAGTCAAAAGTTGCTGGAAATTGGGTTTGGGAACCAGGTGGCCCCAACAACGTACGAGCTACTGTGGTTTTGGTCACCACGCGACAATAGAACGTAGAGGGTGAGCAACCTCGAATGTTGCGGCAATCTTCACCGGTTGATGTATGTTTCCATTCACCTCTTCGAGCAAAGAAGGCGACCATTATTCGGGCCATCGTCTCAACTGTGACGAGCACAGGAAGAACAATGATCACAACGCGGTTGTTGGCAACGATGTTGGCAGGGGGATTACCACAATCTCAGGGGCTTTTCCAACACTGTAATGCTACTTGCGACACCGGTGTCAAAAAACATGTTCTTCGATACGTCACAAAATTCTTCGAAACCGTGTTGACTATGTTCCCACGGCTATCAGCTGTCGCGTAAGCTCTCTTCCGGCCAAAAGTGACCGATGTTTGCTGAGATATATCCCAACACAAGGTCGCGTCCCCAACTCCGTGGTGTGTTAAAGTAGCCTTTTTACGACACCGTGCGGAATTCTTCGAGAACGCCTCCAATGGGCACGAACCCAACTTCGTTGTTTTCCCACGGCTCTCAGCAGTCGTGCTGACCCTCTTTCGGTCAAAACGACCGGTGGTTGCTGAGATATGGTCCAACACGATGTTACAGCACCACCTCCGCAGTGTCTTACAATAAGAGTATTACGACACCGAGAGTTCGAAAACTCCTCCAACGAGCACGAAATCAACTGCGCTGTGTTACCGCGGCCCCCAGCTGCCCGAGAAGGCGCTACTTTCGCCATCCTCCTGGTCGTCGCTGCTGTTCCTATCCTTGTCCGCGAAGTCATCATTGTAGTCATCCTGCTCCTCATCGCTACAACTACTTCCTCTAAACACTCTTCTTCTGCCTGCCCTCGCTCCCACGCTCGCGGGTTCTCTCAAGATCATCAATTGGTGTTACTTTGACGGTTTCTCTCAAGATCATAGTTGGTGTTACTTTGACTTTACTCCGTATGCGTCACCCCCGATTCTTCCCCCCGCCCACCCTTTCCTATGGTTGATTTGGTGGTTTTTGATGTGCCGTCATCGATTTGGCATGCGCTATGCAAATGTCCGCATCGACTAGACCAGCAGGCACCTTGAATCCATTTCCACATCGTACTAGGCTAGTTCGAGGTCGCTATCCACGTTGGTCTTGCAAGGCGTTTCCATAGCCGGGGTTCATAGCCGGGGTTATCGATGTCCCAAGTCCGGGTATGATACCGAGTCCCGACTCCGACACGCATGTCTCCCTGGTTGGATCGCATCAGAAACATGAAATCGTGGGGCGCTGCCAAATATCTGTTTCACCGTCAGCTTCGACGAGGTTTCCTCGTGGAGGGAATCGTTTTGCATCTGAAACAAGCTCTATGGTTCAAGTAACATGATACTGTTGAAAATTGGTTATTGAAAATTTTTGTGACGTCCCCGAGGGAAAATTGTATGTATCGTCGAAGAAAATGGCCTCCGTGGAAACGTGAAGAAATAGGCCTGCACGGAAACGGGTATCACGAAGTTCGATTCTTCATTCTGCCCATGGCGTTCATTGTCAGTTTTTGTGGTGTCGCAGTCCCTGGGTGGACCCAGGTCCCGACTCCTTGGAACAATCGGTTTAACTGTCGAAACCTACACAAAAATATACATATCGATTATTTCCTGTTCATGCCGTGCATATCCAAGGTTTCTGTAGCCCAAATCGAGATGTGAAGTCGGGTCTCGACTACCCACACATGTCTCACTCGTTGAATCATACCGTAACGAAAAATTCGGGACGTCGATGCTATGGATCTGTTTCATTATTGTTTTTGGTTGTAGATCTTGCACGTCTTACTGTTAGAGCTGTACCTCCAACCGGTTTCCTTGTGACGCTCGTCAATCGACCTATTCGTAACAGGTTCCGACGTGCACAAACAAGCGCCGATGATTGGATCACCCGTAGATGTGGTAGTGGTGCACCCTCCCCCAAACACCCGGAAGGATGGCGATTGATTGTCCAGGTACACGTGCGAATAAGGTGGTTCGCGATGTACACAGTCGTATGCGGCCCCAGTAGATCCGTGCTCACCGCTTGACACGGTTGAACAGCATCGTGATGATCCTTTTTGGGGCGTGTCTTCTGCAGTGACAACTCATGCTTGAGCACTACTCCAGCATCTCTCATCTTAGCTGTCGCCGTGAAGATTGCTTCGTGTCAGTGTGCCAGACACTGGTGCCAAAGAGCAGCAGCCTCCAGGCGCAGAAACGCACAAGCGTTCTCGTTGCTCATCGGATTCTCCAATTTGTCGAGAAGTCGATCTTCACATCCATGTAATTTAGTGTTCCTTCTTCTCTTCGCACCCGTATGGATCCTGATCCGTCACTCTGTAATCTGGTAGCTCGATCGCGGTGGATCTGACATATTCTAATCTTATTTGCACCTTGCTTCTGTGCCCTTCCTGTCGAGGACAGGTGTTGTCCCACTTCCTGGGACGGTGGTGCGCTTGAACTGAATCCTCCTGTTATTATTTCATCTCCCTTGGCGAACACGCGGTTGATAATCCCTTGGCCGATGCCCATGTCCTCCAGCACGAATAATCTTGATGGGTTTCTTGATAATGGTGTACTCCTCCAACACGCAAACGAGGTTCGTCATGATGTCGCTTTCAGAATAGTGGCCCGATTCTCCAGTCCATTAAAAGGCCATAATGCCGGTCGATGATCTCCGTAGTCATCATGTTATTTATTTTGTTCATCTTCCATTCGTATGACACATGAGTATCGTAGGGTTCCAGCGAAATTTCCACCACTGTCTGGTCTGTCGGCTGTGCACCGTCCGAAGCAGTTTCCGACCCGCACGCTCTTGCTGACGATGGTGCGATTTTCAGGGGGTGCCCTCGCTTGCGACCCCCACTCCTTCCACCACCGAGGTTTACGCTTACGTCTTGATAGTCGGGGCCGTTCCACAACGCGTATGGACCTCTGGGTGCTGTGCGTTGACCAAAGTGCTGACGAAAATGCTTGCCAACGTGGCCAGGTGTCCCATTCGTATGTATGCGGCGATGGAGATAGTCTCATCGGTGGATAATGGACCTACGCCCCCGGTCGGTCGTCCTAAAAAATGGCAACATGAGGGTCTACATGAATAGCGGCAACCGCGTGTGGTTCCTTCCGAATGACGATTTGCGTGACAGCCCATTGGATGTGATCTCGAAACGTTTTGCCCGGTGCCGTAAATATGCCATTATTACTACACTGCTGCGGCCACAGGATTGGGCGTATCTGGGGAATCACATGTTGATTTTGGCCAAATGGTGGCTTGTGCGACAGCCGGTGGCCGTGGAAACACAGCAATATTGGGTTTGTGCCCGTTAAAGGTGTTTTCCGAAAGTTTCGCGCGGTGTCGTAAATATGGACTTACTACGACACCGCCGAGGTGGTACCGTGGCATCGTTTTGGGCCATATCTCGGCAACCACCGGTCCCAATGGGACGGCTTGCGCGACAGCTGAGAGCCGTAGGGACACAGAGGATGTGGTTTCGAAGCATTTTGAGCAGTGGTGTAAGTATTGTTGACGACACCGGTGTCCAAAATAGCATTACCGAAGAAGGAAAGATAAGGAGTACCTACATGTACACGGACAAGAATGCATGGACCGAGCCGAAGGCCACATTTAGGACTGGGGATATTGGCCTTTGAGAGCGTAGACGAAGATTTAGGCGGGTGGACGACGAAGACGACGATTCCAGATGGGAATGAGGCTCCAAGTGCGAAGACCGGGTTCATGTACTTGCGGAATGTCCGTTGTACAAGAAAGAGAGGGAAATATACATGACTGAGTTGGGAAAAGTTCAAGGAAAAGGTACAGAGAGGTTTTTGACGCATGGAGTCGTCAGGAGAACACGGTAGCGGTACTGGGGCATAGGAACTGGGTGGAAAATGAGGGAAGTGATATAGATAGCATAGATAGGCTAGGGAAAACATTTTTGAGCCACCGTTTTAGGCAAAGTAGGAAGGAACGGTTGGCCGTCGGTGATGGGGCCTGTGGGAACAATGCGCCGTCCTGTCAAGGACACGTGGTCAAAGGTCTAACCACAAAAAATGTAAAAAAACATGAGAGAGAGAGAGAGAGAGAGAGAGAGAGAGTACGGCCCCCTTTCGGATCCAACTCCTGCGATCGGGAAGAGGCGTATGAGGAAGCTAAAGTGGCAACTAGCCGTATGTATATACCATATGGGAGAGGAGGGGTTGCCAAGAGAAACCTGGGAGGCGAAGCGGACAAACAACAAGAACAGGGGTAATAGCTTAGGGAGTGGTTTAAGGTTGTAGAGGACGTATGGAAGAGTTCGAAATCGATGAAGTTAATACATTGGAAACGAACGGCAGGTAGAGGGGTTCGAGAACACAATATTGCAAAAGGATCCAAGGATAAGGAGGGTCTAGATGTGTACGGATGTTGAAAGAAGATATAGGTACCTGCATGAACCAGGGTGCAGGGACGAAGCCGAAGGTCAAATTTTGGACTGGGGACGACGGTCTTTGAGAACGTTGACGAAGATTCAGGAAGGGAGGCGCTGAAGACGACAAGTTCAAATGTGAACACGACTC